AATAAACAACCCTACATTTGCTTAGTGCTTTATAGTTTACAAAGCAATTTTCTTTTTTTTTTTACAAAGGGATTTTCAATCCATTACTTTTTTTGGTCCCCATATCAATCCCACGGGGTAGTCAGGAGAAGTAGTATTATTTCCAATTTAGAGATGAGAACGTGAGCTCAAGGAGGGGAAATTACTTGCTAGAGAACTCTCATCTCCTGATTTGAGTCTTCCAGTGCTTGTTCTAGCACTGCTTATGAACACACATGCTGCTCTTTAGGATTGCCAGGTGGACATCTATCCTCTCATCTCTTTTCTGAGCCACCCTTCCTTCTCTCCTCCATGCCATTGCTTTTTCTAGGGCGTCACTCATCCTTCAGCTCCTAGTGCTTTCTCTACTTTTCCTTTCCAGGTCTACTGTCCCAGATGTACATTGTTGGGGAATGTTTTCCTCTCTTCTCCCAGTAGCCTATCTTGCATCCTGTTCTTTCTAATCCGATAGACCAAGTCATTACAAGGTGTTAATATCTACAAATAACTTCATTATTAGCTCTTTTGGAAAGGATTTACATTCTATTCAAAACCTTTATTATCTTAGTGCAAAGGAAAGCACTAAGATATCTTTGATTAGAACAAGCTCAGGATGGGCACTATAGCAATGCACAAAGAAAAGAAAGATTTGGGGTTATTAGAGTTGGTTCAATATACACTACTATTCACCTCATAATAGATTGATGCTATTTCTTGATTAAACATAATCATCATTAATATAACATATTCTTCATTCTCAAAAGTTTCCTCATTATTACTATGGCAATTGAAGAGGAGACCAAAGCTCAAACAACTTGTCCAAGATCATTCCAGGACTTTATTATTTATAGTCATCAATATGGGTTGAACACCTACCATATGTATACCCTATTCTTGGATATCTAGAGGATTTTACAGAAAAAAAAGAGGCAGTGGTGTGCTGAAGACAGGTATAGAGAAACAGACTTCACCTCTTGTTGGAAAGAGCAGCTAGTCATATTGCAAACGGCAAGCAAACACTGAGAGGGCTTTGAGGCCATATTGCAATATACTAATCAGGACCTCATGAGCAGAGGTCCTATGCCTTGAAACTGGACTTTGGCCAAGATAAGGGAATCAGATTTCTGATGATACCTTAGATTATTAGTATCTCAGGGCCAACTCAATACCTTAGATTATTAGTATCTCAGGGCCAACTCAATAAAAACAGAGGCTGCTATGCCATATTCACCATTCTTACTCCATATATTCTGCCTTTCTCCTTTAACTCTAAAAGATATGATTGTGCTTCTATTTAAGACCAACTCATCTACTTGTTCACTAGAGCACATCACCTTTCACCTATTTAAGGATTTTAATCCAGCAAATTATTCCTTGTCAAACCCCAACAGCTCCATTACTACTTTCCTCCAAGCAAAACTATTGAACATCTCTCGGTCTGATCACTGTACCAATCTCTTAACTGTTCTTTTTGCTTCCACCCTTGTCCTTCCTCATCTCCTCAATTTATTCTCAACATAGCAGTCAGACCATGTAATTTTATATCAATCAGATCCTGCTATCTTTCCACTCAGAACCCTCTAGTGCACCCCATGTCACTCTAAGCTGAAGCCAAAGTTCTAATCGTGGCCTACAAGGCCAGCTGTGATCTGGCTCCGGCTTATTTCTCCTTCTTTATCTCCTTCTATTCTCATTTTGTTTCCTGTACTGTATTGTGCTCTTTGCTTTCAACAAACACAATCCCATCCTAGAACCCTAGAGTTGCTGTTTCTTCTGTTTCTTCTTGCTCCCTCATTTTTTCTTTCTGTGCTTGTTGGCTGTACCCTTTGCAGTGGGGCTATATACAATGATCCTATGCATTCCCTCTCTCCTTTACTCTGTTTTATTTTTTCTCGTAATACTTATTATAATTTAATGTTGTTCATTTTCTCTCTCCACTGGAATGTAGGGCCTTTAAGAGCAGGTATGGTTTCTGTGTTGTTCCCTGTAGTATTCTCAGTGCCTAACACTGAGTAAGAACTCAATAAAATTGCTGAATAGTGAACAAATAAATGAAGGCTAAAATAACATTGACAAGTGATATTTGTAAAAAGTACATTTATATATATCATCCCATGATAAATCTATTAGATAGATATTATTTTCAGCATTTTGTTGATGAGTAAATGAGTCTCAAAGAGGGTAAATTGTAGGTTAAACCCAGGCCTTCAATTGCCAAATACCATCTTCATCCTGCCTGTATAATTGTGGCTGACATTTCTTGGTACACTGTCCTATTTTTCTTTTGAAGTCATTATAATAGAACTAATTTATCTTTAGCACATCTCATTCAATATGAGTACACACTCTTTACATCTGTCTACTCCCAAACTTTTGCATAGCCCACACCTCTTTTTCCTTTTTTAACCAGGCCTATAATCAAGACTTCAGACTCATCACATTCTAAAAATGTTTCTGATCAGGGCTCCTGAGATTTGGACCCTCTCTCCATTAAAGTGATGACCATATACAAAAGCAGGAGACCCTCTTACAGACTTTCCAATAAGACCAGCCCCAACTTGCTTGACAGTTTCAAAACCAATTACATTATTTTACCTTGATATTTTAAACTTATATTAGTGCTACTAGTTCTTAAACTCTGTTTAAAAATGAAATGTGTTGCCTTCTAAGTCAGTCAAATATAATGTTTCATTATTTTGACTCAAAATGATTGGTCAGTCTCATTTTAAGCTCTAAATAAAGCTTTCCTCTGCTTTTAGAAAGAATCATCTGCCAGTAGAGGACAGAGTAAGCATTTCCAGTGGACTAGTTTTTAAATATCAATGTGTATTTTTTCATTCTTTTAGGGGTTTTGTTTTTATTATCAATTCATGGGAAGGTAGCATCAGAAGGGGCCTTAGAGATCTTAATACATGAATCCTTGGTACCAACCTTACTTTTGAATCTTCCATGCAATAAAGTGTAAACTCTCTTACCAAATAGGTTTTTTTTTCTTTTTTGCATTTGTGAACATCCTCAGTACCAAAACATTCTTTTTTTTTAATTGAGCTAAATTCAATTTCTTGTAACTTTTAGACAGAGACTATTTTCTCTTCCATAGGCCAACCTTCAAATATTTGAAGACAGATAAGTTCTGTGTCCAAGCTAGTCCTCCCATTTGTTCCTTACTAGACTTTGACTCCAGACCTTTTCTAACTTACTCCTCTCAAGGCATGCACTCATTGAACAACTCTATTTTGTAAAATTTGATGCCCTTTACTAATCATAATGGTCCAGATTTGTTCTAAACAGTGCAGAGGAACTGTTTCTCTCCCGTTCTGCACATTGGACATCTGTCAATGTGGCCCACATTTGCACTTGCTTTGTTGGCAGCCACATCCCACTTTTGACTTAATCTGAATTTGCAGTTTGATGTACTTGCCTTTTTAAATAAGTCATGAGTTTCTAGAGGGCAGGAACTACAAGTCTAGACCCCCATGTGTTATGCAAGTTCCCCCAATCTGACCCCTCTCCAGATTTTAAATTTGTCTCCCTCTACTTATCTGCATAAAGCATTGCTCCAGTTTAGTGTTCAGCTCACCATTTTCCTCATTGCTGCTCCATCTGCTATGATGCATCAGAATTACCTACATTTTTCTTAAAACACAGATATAATTATATCTCTCCTTGCCTTTAAAACATTTGACCCTTCATACTGTGAAGGATGCACAAAGGTCTTCACAACATAGGTCCTATCTATCTTTCTGCCTCTGTCTCATCACTCTTTTCTTCCCCTTTTCCCAGGCCAATCAGGAATAATTGTCCCTCTTCTGAGAAAAGAGCAGTCACTAGTATGTCACTCACCATGGATTGGTTTGATGATATTTAGGAGTATGTGTTCCCTGCTAGATTATAAATGTCCTTAGGGCATGGTTAGTGTTTTATTCACCTTTGTATCATCAGGCTTGGTACAGAGTAGATTTCAGTGATACTGGCTAAATGAAGGGGTACATGAATGGTCAATGGATGAATGCACACATGCCCTGTCTCCCACCTAGACATCTGAGAGCATGGTTCAGGTATGTGCTGCACAACACTCACACTGCTTCCGGGGAGGTGTTCTGTCACTTCCGGGTCATCCATGCCTCCCTGATCCCATTCCTTGCCCATTGTGAGCATTTAGACTTGGGGAGCACAGGTGAAGTTATACACACATGTACATGCTTTTAAAAAATTGTCTCATGATCTTTCCTTCTCTGTCTCTTCTCCCTTCCTCCTTGTTCTCCAATGCCTCTCTCCTGTTGCCCCTCCCCAACACCACCTGTTACTTCCCTATCACCTGACCTCTCTCCAGTCGGTGTCTGCTTCCCTGTGTGTGTGGAAGTGCCCTCAGAGACAGAGGCCGTTCAGGGCAACCCCATGAAGCTGCGCTGCATCTCCTGCATGAAGAGGGAGGAGGTGGAGGCCACCACGGTGGTGGAATGGTTCTACAGGCCTGAGGGCGGTAAAGATCTCCTTGTACGTCTGACTGCTCACTCTTTGTTTTGCTGGCCTCTGTGTTGTGCGCCTGGCTCCTAAGAGTCTGGGGAATGATGATCTGAGAAAAACTGGCTCTTTCTCTTCAAAGTACTGACTGCTCCTCAGCAGACAACTGACAGCCTTAGTTTATCCCAGCCTCTGTGAAAGGAAGGGCACTTGGCCAGCTGTAAGCAGAACTCCTGGTTACCAGCAGGGATATACAGAGGAAGAAATAGTATTTAAAGCTTACTGTGTGCTAGTCACCTGACTAGGCACTTTGCAGGTGTTTTCATTTAATCTTCTATACTATCCTATTGGATGTATCAAATTAGTAGAAAAATTGAAACAACACTAGGCATCATTATATAAGATAACATAGGTTAGCTCATTTACCTCTCACAAACCCAGTAAAATAAGAATGACAGGGATGACCAAGGCTGATATTCAACTGTACAGCCATATCAGTGGATAAAATATTTAAATAGTTCTATAGTAGATTCTTGCTGTGCCATATCTCCCAAGTGGCCCCACCACCATCCTTCCCACTAGGAACCCCCAAACCTCCTCCATGTTCTAGAAATTAAAGAATCAGTGCCTGACAGAGCTGGAAGCCTCCAAGACTCTGCCCCTGTGCCATGACCGATGTCAGTTCTGATTACTTGGTGCCAGTGCCAAAATAGTTGTTATGTACTTTGAATACTATATTGGAGATGGCTATTATTCACACTTTCATTATCTCTGGAGCCAAGATGCCTGAGTTTGATTCTTAAATCCACAATTTATTAGCTCTGTGTGTTCTTGGTCAAATTGCTTAACCCCTCTGTGACTCAATTTACTCATCTCTAAAATAAGGCTATAAATCATAGCTATATCATAAAGTTGTTACCAGGAATCATTGAGCTTTAATTTTTAATGCATTTAGAATATAGGAAACACTATGTAAGTGTTTGCTAGAGAAGAGATATATACAAATGAGGCAACTGGGGCTCAACGAAGTTAAGGTAGTAAGAGAGCTTAGATTTGAACCAGGTCGTCTAACAGCAGATATACAGCTTTTTTTTTACAGGCTTCACATTCCAGGAGGCAAGCTTCTCCTCCATTAGATTTTTTTAATAGAGACAACAGTAGGGTGAAATTGAGGTTTGCTTGCTTTTTTCTCTAGCTTTCCTGAAGTTAAACTCATTTCTAACTCTAAGTTGTGCTATTCTGATGTAGGTTTGCTCAATCAGGTGCTAGAAATAGGGCCAGTAGACTTCCCACTGCTTGGCTCAGGGTTGACCATGACTGAAGCCAGTCCACAGGTTTCAGGAACCGAAATATCTTGGTTAGATGCAAAGGTCCCCATGGGACTCAGGCCTGATCATGTGCCCGCCACCTACTCTACTTTCAGGCCTGTCCAAAGCAAGGAGAAGGAGACTCAGAAGGAGGAAAAGAAACTTTAAAAATTGTGCTGGTAATACAGGGTAATGCTAATAGAAATTTTGTGAAGATGGAAATGTTCCATATTTGCTAGCCACTAGCCACATGTGGCTATTAAGCACTTGGAATGTGGCTAGTGCAACTAAGGAACTGAATTTTAAATTTTATTGAATTTCTAGTAATTCAAATGTTAATGGAAGTCACCACTTGTGGCAAGTGGAGACTAGAATGGATAGCACAGCTGTACAGAAAAAATAAAGTGTCAGAAGTTGGAAGACTTTGAGAAAAAATTTTAGAAAGCAAATTGCAGATGTGTACATATCAGCTGGTAGCTCTCTGCTCATCTGTGACATTTTAGCATCATGAATCCCACTCCTGTCAGCGTGGACCAGCTCAAAGTGTCAGATTTGAGGGCAGGGCTTTCAGATGTTTTCATGACTAATAAAACTGCCTCTTTTGGTCTTCTACTCTTTGTTCTCTCACTAGCTGCCTCCATGATATATCTTACTCTTTCTTTTGTTCTTTCTATTTCTTCCCAGTCTTTTCTTTCTTTCAATTTCCCTCTCCTGGTTTCTTGTATGCTTCACTCACCTTCCTTTGCTCTCATTCCTTGCTGTGTCCATATGTCCTGATACCTGCTTGCTTTTGCCCATCTTTCCTTGTCTTTGCTCTCCCCACTCCTTCATCTGAGATTCCTCATTCCACCCCCGCATTCTGGAGCTCCTTATAACACTGTCCCTTTTCCTCTCTGTGCTTGCATAATTTTATTCCTTTTCTCTGCCCCTTCCTCATCTTGGCTTTTCTACTCTGTCTTCTCTTGTGGCCCTACCCTCTGCTTCTCTACCTGCAGATCTATGAGTATCGAAATGGTCACCAGGAGGTGGAGAGCCCCTTCCAGGGACGCCTGCAGTGGAACGGAAGCAAGGACTTGCAGGATGTGTCTATCACTGTGCTCAATGTCACCCTGAATGATTCTGGCCTCTACACCTGCAACGTGTCCCGGGAGTTTGAGTTTGAGGCACATCGCCCCTTTGTGAAGACCACACGGCTAATCCCCCTTCGAGTCACCGAGGAGGGTGAGGCTGGGGCACAGGGTCTCTAGGGTGCTCTGCTCTTGGGGAAAGGAGAAAAGTGTGTTTCTACACAAATGCAAAAACCCATTTATTTTGGAGTAGTAATATCTAAAAATGTCACCATTGACCTATCTTCCTTTAGTGGCGAGCTTCCTGCAAACTGCCCAACCAGCTTGCCTTTCTGTGTGTTTCCTCAAAGCAGAAGGTTTAGAGATGATAGAATGATTTCTTTCTGGTCCCCTGACTCTCATAAGTAGAGAAAGGACAGCCTCTTTAAAGCCTAAAACTTCCAAGTCACCCATACCTTCTTCTCTGGCCTGTGTTGAACTCTTGATTCAGTGAGCTCAGAAAAATCTACCCCCTTGTCTATAAGCCATACATACCTCTAAACCAGTGGTGCTCAAACTTGAGCATTCTTCAAAATCCCCTTCAGAGCTTCTTAAAATTCAGCTTTTCTGATTCCATAGGTGGAACCTGATAATTTGCATATCTAACAAATTGCCAGGAGGTGCTGATGCTGCTGGGGACCACACTTTGAGAACCACTGTTCTAAACCAAAGTTTGACAGTTTTTCCTTCTGTCTTCTTCCATAATAGCCACACAAGCAACCCCTATCACATATGTGTCTATATCCACACATGTGTTATAGAGTTAGCCATGACCTTGACCTGTTCACATAACCATCATCATGGACCTATATATTTGAGCAATAAACATGTATATACACTAAAAATGCTATGACATAAGGAAAAAAGGGAACCAGAACCATCAATATCTACTAGAAATCAAAGATAAGTGGTAAAAACAGATTAAGAATAGGGGATAGAACATGAACATAAGTTGTTAAAGGAGGTGAGGGCGGAGGAAGTGATGTAAAATTAGGCAGGAGAGTAACTAATATGAACAGGAGAATAGAACCAGCCAAATACTAAAGGGAACCCAAACGGAAGGTGTTAAAAAATAAAAATAAATAAAAAGATCTGTTTTGAGTTGACCACTGAAGCAGGATAACTTCCAGATATGTGATGTGAAACAACCTAGTAGAAAGGATCTTGAAAAAAAAAAGCTGCATTCAATGGGGAATTCACTATAAGTACACTGACTAGAGATAAACCTGGCTTCCGCAACCTGAAAAGGCTCCTTCTTAGAAAGGCACCCCTTCCCCATCTATGACATCTCTCATTTTGTAACCTCATCTCTCATTTTGTAACCTCATTCTCAATGTTGATAACTCTCGAGTTTTTAATTTAAAATCTTCAGATTTCCCACAGGTAGTTCTTGTTAGGGTTGAGAGGTCCTTTCACCAACCTGACTCAAACGTTTGTTGCAATCTAAGTTCACCCAGAAATTTGAGGGTGAACTTAAGAGTGTTCTCATATACTATTCTTATTCTGCTTTCAATGAACTCAGAGAACTGTGGCTCCTAGCCTCTTGCAAATGTGCCTCCACATATCGAAAGAGTGATCTATGCATCTCCCTTTGTGTTTTTTTTCACCCAGGCTAAATCATGATTCCATTTTACTAAGTCTTTTTCAGACGATCTATTTCCAGCACATTTTTAGCATTATTGCTGGCCCAGGATGCAGGATGGTGAACAGGCAAAAGGCATGGGGCATGAAAGAAAGAAGAGGTCAAATTAAAGATAGGATTCATCCTAGAGAAGGATCCCGGGAATCTCAGCTTTCAGGCCACGAGTTTATTTATTTATTGTTATCACGTTTTGTGATAAAATTTATGAAGCAAACTTGAGAGTGAGATGTTATGATCTAGATAACATGACTAAAACAGAAGGTAGGTCGATTCTGAAAGTGCTGAAGGACTCTCAGACCACTTGAATACAGACCTTATGAGCTTCTTCCTCCCTCAGATCCCTATCTCCTCTTGTGTAAAATGAAGGGATTGGACTGGAAACTATCCAAGGTATTTTTCTGTTCATAAGTTCCATTATCCTCTTTTGTTTACACACGGATCCTCCCTGAGGAAAGGGGGCCTAGCGCCCTCTACTGTTCACCATCAGGAACTGTTGCCTGGTGACTGCCAAGACACTAGGAAGATGCCTGGTCTCCATCTTCTTGGGCTCTCTCAGGCTTTTGCCCCCACCGACACCCACCAGTAGAAAGTGTGGCAAAGCTGAGCCATTCTGCCTGACGGGTGCCAGAGCAAGGCTTGGGTAGAAATAGAAGGAAAATAAGTTTGTTATCAGAGCTACAGTGCCGCGCAGGATGTTAGGGCTGGAAGGAATCTTGGTTTCCATTTAATTCAGGAGTTTTGAACAAAGAACAGGCATCAGAATTACCTAGGGGGCTTTTCTTCAATATATATGTCACTGTACCACTCTTACAGGTGTAAATTCAGTAGGTCGGGGTGCATCCTGGCATATGGAGTTGAAATGACTTCTCAGATGATTGGAGGGTGCAGCTTTGGTACCTCTCATTTTGTGGCTCGGGGAACAGAGCTCTGGAAGAATGAGGAGCTTGCCTAGGGACATGAAGCAAATTAGCACCAAAAGCAGGACTACAATCTAGATCTTTTGATTATCAGACTAGCTCTATTTCCCCTGCGTTCTTTTCCTTCCACCACCATCCTACTCCCAGCTTTTTCTTTCTTTTTACTTTTTCCTCTGTGACCCTTTGGCAGTCCTCCACCCACCTCCAGATGCTCACTGCTCTCATATTGCTCATAACTACACATTCTATGATGACACACTCCGCCACTTCTCCATTCCTGTGGTCCCAGAGAATCTTCCTGGCTCTCTTTGTTCAAACTGGATTTATCCTGGTTTAGGCTCTCACCTCCTGGCTCTAAGACAGAAATCTGAGGCCATGTCACCTAGAGGTGACTAAAAATACTGAGGACATCTTCCTGTGGTACTACTTCTGGGCTATTGCATTTAAAAAGAGATCGTGTACTTTAAGCTGAACATATCACAAATTGGCCATAGCAAGCCCATAAAAAGACATTTAACATGTATGGCATTCACCTGTGCCTCAAGCTGCATCTATGACCTCCAGCTACAGTTAGGAAACCTGGGTGATTCTGGCGTTTTTAGACTGCTTCTCTGAGCTAAAGGTCATGGCTGGCTACACTATGCTTTCAATGAGCAAGGGCTTGAGAATGACTTGGCTCCTATAAGTAACTGAGGACCATGAATCTAATTTGCTTGTGGACTCTGGCAAGGAGAGAGGTGGCTGCAGTCTTCCTTCCCACTAGGAAGAAAGATATATCAGGACATTTGTCATGTATAATGCTTTAATTCTCGTTTTTGTTTGTCATGAAACAAAGAAGATGAATATTTATTTATACTCATCCATTCAACAAATACTTATAGAGTACTTCGAATATTCTAGGATTAAACAACAGGTTGATAATTCAGAAATAAATAATATATGTTCTCAAGTGCACAGTCAGTAGAGAAGAGAGATAAACACATCACGATGCAACTTGAGAAGTGTTATAACAGATGGATGAAAAAAATGCATAGAAAAAAATGTGAATAACTCTGCATGAGAAATTGAGTAAAGTTTTGGCCTTTTGAGCCATGCTTTTCAGAGTTGCCTCAGGCCTGCTTCCATGTCTGGAAGTATACTTTCCCTTCTAATAAAGCTTTTCTTTTCTACTATAAAAAAGAAAAGAAAGAAATTTAGGAAGGTTTCACAAAGGAGGGGGCTTCAGTGGAATCTAGAAGAATGACCAGGAGACTGAAAAGCAGGAGGGAATCTTGGGACAGAAGTAGCAGTGCCATGTGAGATACAATCTAGGAAGAAAGAAGAGAAAGAAGAAATGTCCACAGATTCCAAATGACCACAATGTGTATGAGAAGAAAAATTTTGGTGGGTAACTGAATGGAAATATGAGAAAGGCTGGATTGTGAGGTCAACATGAAGCACTGAAAGGTTTTAAATAGGGACATGGAAGGATCAGATCTGTGTTTTAGAAGTAGAACTCTGAGGACAGACTGGTTAATACATGGAATCCTTCAATACTCATTTCTGTTTGGGTTTATGAGCTGGAAACATCCTTGTTTCTAATCCATACTTGTAGAGAACATGCACATACCACTGGGTGGGCCAAGCACTGGCCCTGTACACATTTTCTGATGTGCTCTCCCTAGAGATACCACCCTCTGCAACCCCTAAACTCAGAGGACATAGGAGGTTGGGCTAAGACGTGTTCCTTTTATCTGCGTAGACCTTTACATCACACGAGATATTCTTAAATATATGTGGTAATGTAGTGGTGTAAATTATTATCCTCATTTTGCAAATTAAGAAACCAAGTCTCAAAAAAGGGGATGTTATTCACATACCAGTAAGTAGTAAAACTGGGACCTCACAACATATATCTCACTCAATTTCAGGATTCCATCCACTACTCTACTGCTTCCTCTACCACCCATTGTTCTCCTTTATCCATCCCTCCAAGCATCGGATGAAAGTCAGTGTGAAAGCTGACAGACAAGAAAGTCAGAGGATATTAAATTCCTTTGACGTCTTCTTGAGTTCTTTTAGACTCAGTGCTTACTGAAGCCATACTTAAAAATAGGCCTCAAATAACTCTGACCCTAATGACAGCTCTGGTTTTCTTGGACATGCACATGCTGAGCCTCATTCTCACTCTTGCAGCTGGAGAAGACTTCACCTCTGTGGTCTCAGAAATCATGATGTACATCCTCTTGGTCTTCCTCACCTTGTGGCTGCTCATTGAGATGATATATTGCTACAGGAAGGTCTCAAAAGCTGAAGAGGCAGCCCAAGAAAATGCGTAAGTCCAAAGATGCCAAAATAATGATACCTAGCACCATTAGAGTTCTTGCTCTCACAGGTGAGATGTTAAACAATTTACATAATCCCCTACTTTCGTCACAATAAACTTTGAGGAGCCAGCATCAATATATCCATTTTATAGATGAGAAAACTGAGCCTGGGAGAGTCTGCCCAAGGCCATTATAAGAGAAAAGGCAAGGTTTGAATTCAGGCCTGCTAACTCTTGGCCTATACTCTTAACCACTAAAGTAAAGCCCATCAGCTGCCACCACAATCCTATGAAATTAATATTATTATTACCATTTTGTAGATACTGGAACAAGCTTGTAGTAGTTAAGTGGCTTGCTGAGGCCACACAGATACTGAGAGGAGAGGCTGGGATTTGAACCTCGGCCTGTCCATTCCTAATATCCATGCTCTTTCTGTCACAGCTGTTTGGTGTATACCATGGAGCTTATTAGGCCACCTGGGCACTGTCTTTTATTAGTTCCAAGAAACATGTTCTTCCACTGGAGCTTGGCAGAGATTAAATACCCAGAGTAGGGCCTGTCATTCTCCAATGTTTAGACTATACTTTGTCCATTTTTGCCAAGGCCCTAGTCACTGAGGAGTGAGTGCATGTGAGAAACAATGGGCTCTGAGAGGTTAAGAGACCATGCTGGCTTGTTACTTGGGGGAGAGAAAAGATAGACAGAACCCTTATGGCTAGCAACATTGCTGAGCTAATAACCTAAAAACCCTAAGCTATTACCACCTGGAAATGTTTGTAAAATAAAGCATTATTTGCATGATCTTTATGACCTTAGGAAAGAAAAAAAAATTACAACTGACTAGATATGAGGATAGAAAGAATTGCTGTGCTGGGGGAGGTTGTCATTCCTGGTGACTTAGGTGCTTGTATTTTAGTGTTTGGACAGGAAGTACAGAAAGTGGTCTTGTGCAGAAGTGACCTCTTTCTAGGATTGATGTGCCAGGTGGTTTTTTGGAAGCCAGAAAATAAAGAGTAGTTATTCCTGTGAGACAACTGAGGGCTAAGTGAACAACTTCTGAACAACAAACAAGAGGAAGAGACCAAACAGAGAAAACGGAGAAACCACAGAAGGCCTCTCATTGCTGTAGGCCAGCATAGTCAGTGGGTGAATGCCATTGTTTACTCTCCCCTCCACTTTCTTGGGGCAGACAGGAGCTTTAACTGAGTGTTCAGGCCTGCCTGCAAGATCACCACTGTGGGGGTCCCAGCCAGGAGGAGCCTTTTGCCTCTGGACAAAGGGACCAAGCAAAAACAAGAGGGCCTCACTACATGCACAAGGCCTCACTGTGGGGAGCCGCTCCAGCCCAGCAAGTTGATGCCCCAGGGTGCGTAAGCCCCACTTGGCTCCCACTGGCTTCCAAAAAAACACCTGGCACATAAATCCTAGAAAGAGGTCACTTCTGCACAAGACCACTTTCTGTACAACAAACAGATAATGCTGGGGAGCCACAGGAGCTCTTTGGGGATTTCAGGAATTCTCTGAGGTCAGAAGTGCCTGTGAACACCATTATTTACATCCCCTTCCACATCTATAGGGTGGGCAGGGACTCTATCCAGGTTCTCTCATATACCTGTAACATCACTGCAGTGCTTACTTGGACACATTGCCTGAGCCCATTGTGGCCTTGAACAGAGGGAGCAAGTAGGATCAACAAGACATTTGCACCTGGCCTCCCTACCTAGAGCCGCTCTGGCTCAGTAGGCAAGTGCTTGGATACCTTAAGCACCCGCTTGGCTCCCATCAGCATGCCAAAACTACCTGGCCTACACAGCCTACACAGAGGCTGCTTCTGCATAAGGCCACTTTTTCAAGACTTAGAAAGATAGCTATTTTATATAATTCATGTTAACAAGCATAGAAAGTCAAACAAAATAAAAAGACATAAGGATATTTCTCATATGAAGAAACAAGAAGAATTCACAGAAAGAAACCCTAAAGAAATGGAGATAAGTAATATGCCTGATAAAGAATTCAAAGAAATGGTCATAAGGGTATGGTATTCATCATACTTGAGAGTGGAATAGAAGAATTTAGGGAGAACTTCAACAACGACTTAGAAAGTATAATAAAGAACCAGCTGGACCTGAAAAAATCGATAACTGAAATGAAAAACACATTAGAAGGAATCAACAGGATTATCCAATACAGAATACAATGGATCAGGCACCTAAAAGATGACTAGTGGAAATCAACCAATCAGAATAGCAAAAAAGAAAAAAAGATTTTTTAAAAAACGAGGACAGTTTAGCTTCTGGTCAAGATGGTGGGGTAAGTAAATGCTGTGCTTGCCTCCGCTCACAACCTCATCAAAATTGCAACTAAAACTACAGAACAGCCATAATTAGGAGTCACTTAGAATCTAACTGAACAGAAGTCCTACAACTCAGAATATATAGAAGAAGCCACCACGAGACTGGTAGGAGAGGTGGAGATGCAAAATGGGTTGGTCTCACATCCACATGTGGCAGCTGAAAATTGGGAGAAATATCTTGGCTGTGAAGATCCCCCCAGAAGACTGAGGGGTCCTAGCCCCACACTAGGTTCCTCAGCCCAGTGTTCCAATGCTGGCAAGAGAAGTCCTCCCAACTACTGTGAATACCAGTGGAGATTGTGGCTGAGTGAGATGGAGGGTGGTGGGAGTCACAGGCATTTCATCTTAAAGGGCCCATGTGGACTTATCTGCTGATGGATTCGCTCTGAGCTCCATTGCTGAGGCAGCAGCTTGAAAGGTGCCAGAGACATATGGGGAGGAACTGAGTTGTCTAGCTTTGGGATGAGGGCTGGAGGGGCAGCTTCCTTCCAGACATATTCCTTTGCTGAGCCCTCCCCTGCCCAGCATGCAGATTCAGGGGGTTGCCATATCTGAGCTCTATCAACATAGCTAACACTGGTTGCCTTGCCCAGATGATTCCCTGAGACCCCGCCCCTCCCAATGCATAAGACCATTCAAGCCACTTCCAGTGCCTTTTCCATATAAAAACAGCCTGTCTTAGCACATGCTGTGAACTGTCCTAAATCTCTGATAGGTTCACAAAACCAAAATGTAGCATCGGCCTCGGCATACCCCATACCTCTTGCTGACCAGCTCCAAGTCCTGCATTTTGTGGCAGCCAGCTTGGTTTGCAGCTTGGCCTCTCAAGGCACTTCCAACCTTAGCATGAGTGGTGGCCATCTGTGACTGCTTGGTGGCTCAGTCCAGGTGGCCAGCTTTGATCTGAGCCTGAGCAACACCTGGGATCACATCTGAGGACGACACACCCAAAGGACAGACAGGGCAGGTACCAGACCCCTGCTAAAGTGAATCCTGCTCCGTAGGATCAGGCCCTGGACAACGGCTCCTCCACTGGTCAAAGCCAGTCCACAACCAATCAGCCCGAGGGTCAATCCGTCCCATTGCTGTGCAAAAACGCAAACAAGTCTCAACTACAACAGGAGAACACACACAACCCATACAAGGGACATACCTGAGGCATCCAGCTCAGGTGACCAGGGAGATTGTGCCAATGGGCCCCACAGCACACCTACTACATAAGGCCACTCTATTAAGACCAGGAGACACAGCAGCCCTACCTAACACATAGTAACAAACACAGGGAAGCAGGGAAAATGGAGAGACAAAGAAATATGTCCCAGATGAAAGAACAGAACAAAGCTCCAGAAAAAGAATTAAACAAAATGGAGACAAGCAATCTACCTGATGCAGAATTCAAAACACTGGTTATAAGGATACTCAATGAACTTAAGGGAAGAGTAGATGAACTCAGTGAGAACTTTAACAAAGAGATAGAAAACATAAAAGAAGATATAGAAACCATCAAAAAGAACCAGTCAGAAGTGAAGAATACAATAACTGAAATGAAGAATACCTTAGAAGGAATTAACAGTAGATTAGATGAAGTAGAGGATCAAATCAGCCATTTAGAAGATAAGGTAGCAGAAATCACCCAATCAGAACAGCGGCAAGGAAAAAAGAGTACAAAAAAATGAGGATAGTATAAGGGGCCTCTGGACAACATCAAGCAGGCCAACATTCACATCATAGAAATACCAGAAGAGAGAAAAAAATAATGACAGAAATCTTTCCTAACCTGGCAAAGGAAATTGACATATAAATCCAGGAAGCACAGAGAATCTCAAACAAGATGAACCCAAAGAAGGCCACAACAAGACACATCACAATTAAAATGCCAAACAAGATGAACCCAAAGAAGGCCACAACAAGACACATCACAATTAAAATACCAAAGGTTAAAGACAAAGAGAGAATCTTAAAAGCAGCAAGAGAAAAGCAATTAGTTACCTGTGAGGGAGCTCTGATAAGACTGTTTGTTGATTTCTCAACAGAAATTTTGCAGGCCAGAGTAATTGGCAGGAAATGTTTAATAATAAAAACCAAGGACCTACAACCAAGATCACTCTACCCAGCAAAACTATCATTTAGAATTGAAGGACAGATAAAGAGCTCCCAGACAAGAAAAAGCTAAAGGAGTTCATTGCCACCAAGCCAGTATTATAGGAAATGTTGAAAGGACTTCTTTAAGAAGAAGAAAAAAGAAAAAAGATAGAAAATATGAATAATAAAATGGCAATAACTACATATCTATCAACAATTACTTTAAATGGAAATAGATTAAATGCTCCAATCAAAAGACAAGGTGGCTAAATGGACAAAATAAATAAATAAATTAGACCCTTACATATGCTCCCTACAAGAGACTCATTTCAGTTTGAAAGACACAGATTGAAAGTAAAGGGATAGAAAAAGATGTTTCATGAAAATGGAAACAAAGAAACAGAAAAGTTCGGGTAGCAATACTTGCACCAGATGAACTAGACTTTAAAACAAAGGCTACAGCAAGACAAAGAAGGGTATTTATCTGAAGAAACCCAAAGCACTACTTTGAAGGGACATGAAAATCCATATATTCATTGCAGCATTATTTATAATATAGTACAACTTAAATGCCTATCAGCTTAAAACAGACTGCTACAGATATAGAATGATATACATAAACCTCGTGGTAACTACAAACCAAAAATCCTACAAAAGATATACAGAGTAAAGAGAAAGGAATGCAAACAAAACACTAAAGGAAACTAACAATCACAAGGAAGAGAATCAAGAAAAAAAAGGAACAGAGAACTATAAAATAACCCAAAAAACAATTAACAAAATGTCAATAAGTATATATACTTATCCACAATTACTTTAAATGTAAATGGATTAACTGCTCCAATAAAATGATATAAGGTGAGTGAATGCATTAAAAAACATGACCTATCTATATTCTGCTTACAAGAGACTCACTTCAAATTGAAGGACATTGATGGACCTAGAGAGTATTATGTTAAGTGAAATAAGTCAGAGAAAAACAAATACTGTATGATTTCATTTATACATAGACTCTAAACAAAACAAAATGAATGAACAAAATAGAAACAGAGCTATAGATATAAAGAACAAGTTGATGGTTGTCAAGGAAGAGGTGAGGGATGGGAATAAAAATAAATATATAAAAATTTAAAAAATAGTGACAATATCAAATGCTGGCAAAAGGAGGAGGGGGAGGGGAAGAGGAGGAAAAAGAAGAAATTGGAGTCAAATGAGGTCAGTGACATTGCCAAGGTCACTGTGTGTTGGGGCAGAGTCCACTTCCAGGAGATTTAAAGAGACAGGTTAAAGTTCTTGTGGCTCTATCTGGCCCCCTCCAGGAGATTTAAAGAGATAGCTTTTCCTAGACAGCATTGATTATGGCAGTGACTCATTAGCACATGAAACCAGTCAGACCTAGCCATTCTCTGCCCTCTCTAAATCACACCCAGCCATGGATCCCCTTCTAAACTTTCTACTTCTCCAACTGTTCTCACCAAGCTGCCTGGAAATCCCAGCATTAAAAAAAAAAATGCACTCGTTTTGCTTGAATGACCTCAGGGGACCAACCCCCTTAAAAACAAACAAACAAACAAAAAACTTTACTTATATCCAAGTTCTTTACTTATATCCAAAATCAGTGAGCTGGGGTCTTGCTGATCTGTCTCTTCACAGTGACAGCACATAGTAGTTGCTCAGTTTGAGTTTAGTGTTAGGAGGAGATAGGAGAAGTTGGAGACCAGAACTGTAGGCAGCCTGGGGAGCCATTAGCTTTATGAGTTTTGCTTGTGGGTTTTCTCAGTAAAGTCCTGGACCTTGTAGATTGGCAAGGAGAAGTTCCCCACTCTTTCTCACCTGCCCCCAAAAATAAAAAATAAAAATACAATCAATAACATCTAAAACTCAATGGACTGGTTTGTCAGATACTGGTAACCAGAAGATAAATGTAAGGAAGTTACACAGAATGAAAAACAGAGATATAAAAAGATGAAATATCACAAAGAAACATGACCAAAAAAATGAGAAGATCCATTAGAAGAAAATAGAGAAAATGGAGAAGAAACAATGTTCAGACATATGGAAAGGCAGGACTCCTTCAGGTTCAGGAAGCGCAACTATGTCCTGAGCAAGATATACACATATAAATGTAAACCTAAACACCAATCACCTTTAAACTGATAAATGGCAGCTACTAAGATAACCTACAGCAAATATTATCTGTGGGTTGCAACTTTAGAAATGTCTATAATATTAGAAACATGTCAAAGATACTACCTCTCCTGGCTTCTATTCAATATAATATTGTATATCCTCAGTCATGTACTAATACAAAGAAAAAAGAGTAAGAATTAGAAATAAACTAAATTATCATTATTCATACCCCCTATGATTACCTGCATAGAAAATCTAAAGGAATCCATAGGCAAACTATTAGAACTAATAAGAACATTTCACAAGTTTGTTGATACAAATCAAAATATAGAAATATAAAAATCATCTATATCCAGCCACAAAAATTTAGAAAAACATTTAAATATTTAAAGTATTTAAAAAATTCCAATTATAACACCAACAAATACTGTCTAGTATGTGGGAATAAATTTGATAAAAATGTAAAAGACCTTTAAGGAGAAAATTACAAAACTTTACTGAAAGACCTAAGACTTAAATGGAGAATAAAACTTCCCTGCCACAAACATAACCGTTCTCTCCCAAATTAATCTGCAAATTTAACTAAATTGCAATCAAAATACGTATTGGATTGTTCAAGGAACTAGATAAACTGTCTTAAAAGTTTTATGGAAAGCCAAAAGGCCCAAATTAGTTTAAACCAAAGGACAGCCAGATAGTATATATTTTAGGCTTTGCAGGCTACACAGGGTCTCTGTTCCATATTGTTCTTTGGTATTGTTTTTTTCCTTAAACAAGCAACAACCCTTCTTAGCTATAATTTTCAGAATTCAAAGAGAGAATAGTAAGTTTGGAAGAGGTGAATTGGTAGTCTTTTCCAATCAGATATATAGATTTCTTATGGCGCTATCAGAGTAAACGGTTTGTGATACTGACATAAGCATACAACACCAATGAAGAGAACAAAACAGAGAGCCCTCAAATACTTTAATACATGCATTAAAAAAAAAAAAACAATATTGGCAGAGATGGCAGTGCAGTCACTGAAGGAAGAATCAACTCTTCAATAAGTGGTATGGGGACAATTCCTCTTCTATATAGAAAAAAATTAAATTTCTCATACTAACCAAAAATAAATTGTGAGTGGATTTAAAGACAAGGTAAAATACAAAATTGAAAGCTCTATTAAGGGAATATAAGAGAGTATCATTATTACTATGGAATAAAGAGGGTTTCTCAAACACAAAAGGCACAAAGCAAAAAAAATAATGATAATTGGGATTATACTATATATGTAAACATCAAATTTTCATGATCAGGATCCATAAGCAAAGTTTAGAGACAATAGACTAGGAGAAGATTTTTCAAGACAGTAAATCAATGAGAAAAAGACAAATGTCTCGGGAGAAAAACTAACAAAGCAAATGAACATGTTACAGAAGTAGAAACCTAAATAGCCTATAAACTTATGAAAAGATGCTCAACTTTACCAGTAATCAAAGAAATGAAAATTAAAGCAACTATAAAACCTAATTTCATACCCATCAGTTTGGCCAACATTTTAATCTAACAATACTAAGTATTGAGAACAATGTGGATAAATGAGACTACTGCTGGTGGAAACAAAACAAACAAACAAACAAACAAACAAAAACAAAACAAAACTCCTATTATTCTAGTCTACTGAAAGGGCCATTCTAGTTTTCTCTTGGGAAACACAGCTGGAAGGAAACGTAGAGCTGTTCTGTAGATATCCTCGTTCTTGTGTTCCCACCTCTAGGCACAAAAGCACTGATTCTCTCCCCCCACATTTGTCCTTCTACAGGTCTGACTACCTTGCCATCCCATCAGAGAACAAAGAGAACTCTGCAGTGCCAGTAGAGGAATAGAAGGGGTGTGACATGAGGTGATGTACAGGGAAGGGGAGTGGAAGGTAGATAAGGATGGCAACTTGTACATGTGACTTTGTCACCCACAACCAAAGTGACTTTAAATTTGGTCCCTTAGATTAATTTCTACCCTACCCAAGTCCCCACTCTCAGGATACTTCTTTAAGTTAATGCCCAAGTCACAAAGCTCTGTGTGATGTCAAGCCTTTCAGAAGGTGAATTACTTTGGTCTGAGTGTTGGAACAACTTGAACTCCTTATTCATAGTGACAAAGGCATAGTAATTCCCCCATCTCTCCTTTGTAAGTATTGTGGATTTGGTCAGAGTCTTTGTCTAGGCTGCAAATTCTCAGTGATTGGTTTTATCATTGGTAGGTGGCCTGAACACTGAGAGACTGGATATCCCAGGTTCAATGATGTCAACGGCCATCAGGCGGGTGCCCCAGAGGCCACATCGTTTCCTTTCATGCATCCATCCTTCAATTCATTCATCATACATCCATTCACCTCTGACTTCCTAACTTCATCAGACCTCTACACACCATAAGGCTGCCAGAACAGAGGAGCCAACATCTCTACACGAACTTAGCCTTGCCCTGTCCTAGCTTTCAAAGTAAGCAGCTCCCATGCCAACTGGACTTCTTCCTTGTGCTCTAAATGACTTTGAACAAGTGCTGAAGGTGGCACATGCTCTGCCTCTTACTGGCTGGAACTAGCTTATTCTCAATTGCTGCTAGTGAATGGATGTCTTAATGGAAAAAAGCAGAAGTGATTAGTTTGGGTCAAAGCAAGTGTTATGAAGTGGGGTTTTTTGAAATTAGTTTTGCCGAGTTCTTGGCCTACTTGACTAGATCATCAGTGCAAAACATGCTTATCTAGGTTCTCCAGTGATAGAAAATTCATTAAGCATGGATTAAAATGTTCTCTGGAGCTTGGTTGGTACTTCAAGGCTAGATCCTATTAGGTTGCTAAGGCATGGGTTAGTCTCTGTCTTTCAAGAAGCCAATGATAAGAGACTAAGGGAAGGACTAAGCAATTTAAATAGCTCTTAAGTGTCATACAATATATTCATGATCCTATTGGAGTAAGTTGTGTATGTCCCTGCCCCCTAAGCAAGCACACCCCCTGAGATAGCTAGGAAGTGTTATTTCTGGTGGGCATTGGAACTGAAATTCCCAAGTTCTTCCTCTCCAACTTTTTGTGGATTAAATTATTACTCATGTTATAGGAGGCAACTGAGACTCGGGCAGGGTGCAACTGACTTCAGATATAAGCCTGGGGTGCAACTGACTTCAGATATAGGTGCTGTCAAGGTTAAAATTCACAAGATAGATAATTTCGTTTTTGAAAAGACTTTGAAATTGAGATTGGCTATAGGCATTTCTCTTTCACAAGCACAGATTGGGGTGGATTGCCTGGTTGAGATTAATTCTGGCTGATTCTAGTAACTAGAAATTGGCCAAAAAGGCAGAAATACATTAAGTAGACTTAAAGCTTCCTTAGTGAAAGGATTTGTGAATCTGAAACATTCTCCAGAAGAATGCATCTGGGAAGGATATTTAAGAAACATTCTTATTAGTCTGAGATGGATGATGAGCAAATAAGTGAAGTGATAGGGAGGGATGAGCTAGGTGGCTTCCAAATATTTCACCTGTGAATCCATAATGTCCAGGGTTTTGTTTCTTTGTTTTTTGTTTTTTTTAGATTTTGGGAGGGCAGATGAACATCAAACAAATTTTAGTCAAAATCTTGTTTCATTTTAATTGATTGGTCCAAGCATGGTGTCCTTCACCGTCTAGTGATGGGGAGGGGAAAAGATGCTTTTTGGAATATGAGATGAAAGTGACTGGGACTTGATGAACAAGATGTCCCTCAGATCTCAATGATTTTATAGGGAAGGATCATACTGCATTGGCTTTGAACCTCATTTGACAAACTCAGTTTTGTCTTTTCCGTCCCTGGGAAAGTACTTGAAATAAATCCTTGTTAACATATGTAAGAGTCCAATTTTATTGAAGAAAATACTTTCAATAAATTCAAGGCCCTTCTCGTTAGTAATTTCCCACATAATCTCTTTGAAATAGGAGGCAGTATACAGATTTTTCTTATTTTGTAGTTAGGAAAATAGGCCTGGATAACTGTGAGGTTTTCCCAGTCACAATGCTGATTGATGACAGAGCTTATAGTAGAAGCAAGCTACTTATTACCACTCTACTTTCCTCTAAGTTCCAGTAGAGCATGCATCTAACTTGTCATCGACTAAATGCATAGCTGCATTTTTTTTTCTTTTTAAAAAACCAAATTGAGATGTTTCCTGAGTTTTTTAATGAAGCTGAATGGTACCTATCATTACTTTTTCTTATCATTTACAAGTAATGTTTTCCTTTTTGTAACTTCTCAACTCTTTTCATCCTTAATACTTTCATTAGAGCTATATGGTTTACAAAACATTTTCATTTCAATTATCTTTCTACTCCACAACTAGCCCTTTGAGGCAGATATTACTAATACTCATAAATGAAGAAACTGAGGCTTCCTGAGGCTAAGTAGCTTTATCAGGCGCTAAATGCATGCAGTTGGTAAGTGGAGAGCTGGAATCCAGGTCTTCTGTCTCCTAACCCAGTTCGCTTTCCACTTAAATCATAGTTGCTTCCTTTCCTCTCATTTTTTAACTTTCATCTAATCTTTGCCTCTCTTGCTTATCCTGAGATAACATCTTTTCTCACCCGTAATCCCACTCTACTGCTCCTCTACTACTTTGCTTCTTGGCAGATGCTAGAAATGTGCTTTAAGAGTAAATCTCATTTCAGTTTTCCCTTTCTAGTTGGTTTGCACGTCATTATTTCTCCTGAATTGCAATTAAACTTCTTCCTGGGAGACTTGATCATGACTATAAATCTCCAAGGTACTGTGATCACCAGCCTACATCAAATCCTCACCCACTCCATTTCTCCCCATATTCCTGCAAAGGACCCAGACTAAATGTGCATTGCTCTGAAAGCTTTATCTGGCACACTGTTTTTATTAAAGGGCTTAGAAATGTTCTCAAGGGCTATTATCACTTTAGGAACCCCATCTATTGCCTCGGTGCTGGATATTTCCCATGACTGATTCTCAATAACGCAATTCACTAAAGGCCAAGGTAGGCTGGGTCTGATTTCTCCATTCCTATCACTTAATAGCCATGAACTTGATTGCTCAACTCAGTTGGCCCTGTAAGCACCTTGCTTTACTGACCTTTACTGTTAGGTCAGTCTTGTATCTCAGCCCCAACTCCTGTGTGGAAACACCTTTAGAGTCAGTACCCATCCTACCCCGACCTTTATTTTCAGTCTGTTTAATTTTAAAAGCATTATCCTTTAGTTCTTTTACCCCCAAACATCCACACACCCAGATTTCTGATTCTCTGAGTTTCTGATTTCTCCTTAGATCCCAAACTAGACATGATAACAGGAAAGGAATTTTTAAAAGCAGGAATATGTTGGAAATATGTGTAGAGCAGTGAAAAGATAAGAGACAGTAGCCTCTCCCCCAAAACTATTAGATCAAAAAGGAAAATACAGCCATCTCATAGTTTGTGAACCCACCTGACATAAATCAGAGGGAAAAGGCTATGTAACTGCATCTTTGCAGGAAGAAGCAAGACAGACACATTTCAGATACTCTATCTTGGTTCCCCTTTTCTAAGTTCACATAGAAGTGAAAAAATAAACAATAATAAAAGCCTTCCTCCCACCTCTTTTTGTAAGTGAAAAATTCCTAACATAGTGAATTCATCTAGTCACTGCAAATGTATCTGAACAGTATTTGGTGTGTTTATTACTCCATTCATTCTCCATTTCAGCACCCACTGTGTCAAGCACCAGTCTAGGCCCTCAGTGTGTCCCATGGTCTAAGGACTGAAAAATATCCTCATCTAAGACTTTCTTCATCTCTAAACTCTACTGTGTGGTAGATAACTGTTTAGTTTTCCCCCTTACTTGAGTTAATATAGGACCCAGTAGATAAGTACTTTAAGCAAGTCTGAGTTTAGATCAGACTCAACTTCTATCACAGACCAGCTAAGCCTCGAAGCCAGTAATGCTCTTTCTCTCTGAGTCACCATTTGGCAAGAGCTGCAATTGCTGGGCAGCGGATGTGATGGGGGAGGCAACTGAAGAATGAGTGCTTGGGAGTTTGTAAAACGCCATCAAACAAAGTAGCAAACTCTTACAGTTCTGCAACTGATGGAACTCTTTACCACATTGTCACCTTCATATTGCTTTTTGATTATCCACAGCCAATAGTTTTCTGAACACTAGAAATGTTCCTGACCACCCAAGCTCTCGATAACCTAATGCCTGTATGTAGTGTTTTTCAGTAAACCCTCTGTTCATGTCAATAAAGTGTCTCTAACCACTGTCTGCACTGTGTGTGTCTACCAGCCTGCATCAATTCCTCAACTCACAATCATTCAGTGGATACATAGCCAAAGTATAAAAAATACATTTAGTAGTCTAGAATGAAACATATGATAAATGTGAGAGATAGTCTCTCCTTTTTCCCCTTTTCTTCCCTACCCAAATACAAAGGAATACAAGAGTCACTTGTATTCTCACCTGCCTTACATCAAATAAGTTTCCTACCAGGTGGCAAAGGGCTAACTGCAAGGATGACCTAATGAATGGAGGGGCCATTCTTCCTTACTAGTCCATGGAACATAAGGTAATAAAGCAAAGCTGTTTCTATCTTTCTGGAAGTGCTAAGGCCCCAAAAGGGAAACGTTTAACAAGAAACTGTCACCTGGATTCATAGTCTATCACACTTTCTTATATCATCAAAAGTACTGATTAATAATGAAATAACACATTACCTTAGTACAGTACCAGCTACTACACACACAAACACATTCTATTACCTCTAAATAACACACTTGAAGTGATGGATGGGGGTCCAAGGTCACACAACTGATAAACAGTGATGATGCAATTCTACTCAGGTCTGATTCTAAAACTTCTTACT